AGAGCAAATGGGACATAGTCGGACAACAGAAAAGGCGAATTATGGTCTCTGTTCCAACGGATGGGAGGGTGCATCAGACGAAATCATCCTTCTCTTCCTCCAAGCAAGTTCAAGGTGGCAAGTGCTTCTTGAAGTTGTTCCTGGAGCGCTCCAGCTACCTTATCATTCCGCTGCAAAGCCAAATCAATTCAAGCGCCTCGTGGACAAAAAGCTCATCAAACTGAACAAGCCGACTAAAGCATCTGCAACTTCAATCTCAGTTGATACAACTCAGCTGCAGAGTCAGATCCAACAGATGCGAGAGGACTTTAATGCACAGCAATCCGAGACCAACAAACTGCTCAAAGCGCTCCTTGAACAGAACACTCAATCCACCATGCAACTCAATCACCGGATAGATCAATTGTCACAGAGGCCAGAGTCCAAACCCATTCCGGCTGCTGGATTATTATCAAGCAGGCCAGAGGACGACGATCAGGGTCAGTAAATCACTCCACATCAGTGCAATGTTGACATGGTTTATTCTAGATGCCATTCCGGCTGCTGGATTATTTTCAAGCAGGCCAGAGGACGACGATCAGGGTCAGTAAATCACTACACATCAATGCAATGTTGACATGATTTACTCTAGATGCCATTCCGCCTGCTAGATTATTTTCAAGCAGACCAGAGGATGACGATGAGGGTCAGTAGAGCACTCTGCATTGGTGCAATGTTGACATGATTCATTCTAGATGCCATTCCGCCTGCTAGATTATTTTCAAGCAGACCAGAGGATGACGATGAGGGTCAGTAGAGCACTCTGCATTGGTGCAATGTTGACATGATTCATTCTAGATGCCATTCCGCCTGCTAGATTATTTTCAAGCAGACCAGAGGATGACGATGAGGGTCAGTAGAGCACTCTGCATTGGTGCAATGTTGACATGATTCATTCTAGATGCCATTCCGCCTGCTAGATTATTTTCAAGCAGACCAGAGGACGACGATGAGGGTCAGTAGAGCACTCTGCATTGGTGCAATGTTGACATGATTCATTCTAGATGCCATTCCGCCTGCTAGATTATTTTCAAGCAGACCAGAGGACGACGATGAGGGTCAGTAGAGCACTCTGCATTGGTGCAATGTTGACATGATTCATTCTAGATGCCATTCCGCCTGCTAGATTATTTTCAAGCAGACCAGAGGACGACGATGAGGGTCAGTAGAGCACTCTGCATTGGTGCAATGTTGACATGATTCATTCTAGATGCCATTCCGCCTGCTGGATTATTTTCAAGCAGACCAGAGGACATTTCATCACAGGATATTCTCATCAAGCTCCGGGAGCTACTCAAGGATCCCAATGCAGACTGGACTTGTGCAGAGCAGAGAGAGGCTGTGGAAGCATTGCTCAATTTGGAAAGGGACGTTATTGTCGCCATGCGCACTGCCAGTGGGAAGAGTCTGGTCTTCATTCTTGCCGCAATTCTTCAAACTCGAGTCTGCTCAGTGTTATTTATACCACTTCGAGCACTCCTTGAAGACTGGAAACGCCGCTTGGACAACTTTGGGATCCCATATCACCACTTCCATGCATCTGATGGAGTTCCAGAATTGACTGGAGAACACAACATCATCCTGGTCTCATCAGACGTTGGACGCTTCCGGAACTGGGAAAAGGCAATCGACACCTTGAACGCTCGTAAACCAGTTGGCAGAATTGGTTTCGACGAATCCCAGTTGTACATCGGAGACAGCAAGTTCCGCAACTTCACTTTTGCACATCCTGATGCTCTTCGGCGGTCTGCTTGTCAAGTCGTTCTCCTCAGTGGATCTGCGCCACCAGATATGATACCCGACATTGTGAAGACATTTGGACTGGTCGATCCGATTCAGATCCGAACGCGTAGCGCCCGCTTGGAGACAATCTACCACGTTGGACCATTCATCAGAGACGTCAAGGAAGGACACGAAAAGATTATGGAACTCGTCAACAGGATGCGCAGTGGAAAGGAGCCAGGGATCACTTGGGGTCTCAAGGATCGCTACCTTGTTTATGTTCAGACCCTACACGATGGGTATGAGCTTGCGGAACTCGCCGATCTCGACTTCTACCACGGAACAAAGTCCGGTGAACACGAAATGACAGAGAAGCGGCAAAAGGAAATCTGGGATGACTGGGTGAATGGATACAAGATTGGATTGATTTGCACCAGTGCCTTGCAAGCTGGCATTGACTATGCATCGATCCGACTTGTCGTTCATCTCAAACAACCTAGGAGCATGAACGACTATATTCAAGAGAGCGCACGAGCGACCAGGGACGGAAAGCTTGGTATCGCACTGCTTCTACCAACCAAGGTGTTTCCGAGTCTTGCAGCTTGGAGTGAGGAACACCAGAGGCTTCATGGAACGGCATACATGAAAGCTTTGACGAATCCACAGGGCTATTTCCCCGACTCCTGTGTCCGATATCAAATGGGGATCTACAATGATGGAAGTTTCCTTCAATGTCCTGACTATGAAGGCGCTATGCTTTGTTCAGGATGTATAGAGAGTGAGTGATTTCCGTCTCAGTTTCCGTCTCTGCGCTAACTCGTGCTCTCTAAGGATTCGAATGTCAAAGGGACTATATCACTCGTGAAGGATTGGAGAATGAGATCATGATTCCGATCGAGCCTGTGCAATTCAAACCTATTCTGCTGCCACCAGCGCTTGGTCGATCTCAACTCAAACGGAAACTCGACGACGCGTTTGGGAAAGCGGCAGACAGCTCCGCAGCGAAGCGCAGGGAGCTCGACGGTGCCAGACATCGGCGTATGGAGCCCTACATGCAAATGTTGGAGTTTGCAGGGAAAAAGTGTGGATGTTGCTTGCTGGACAAGGGAGTCTTCAGCAAGATCGATCACAAGGCGTACGACTGTCCTGCGTTCAAATATCACAGAACCGAGCTGCTTGATCTTCAAAGGCAATACCGGTACAGCCGAGATGCTGCGGTATGCTGGAAGTGTCATGTTCCATCCTTCGGCGGCAATACTGGCCATGATCTCTTTATCAAGTCGATTTCCTACGCCGATGCGCTATATGATGGCGAGGACACTTGTGAGCAATCCAATCTTCTTCTTGGACTTGCTTTTGGGATTTGGAGAAATCCGAGATTGAGGCAGGAGGTTGCAGACTGGAGCGGTTGTCGAGTGTGGACAACGTTGGAGAAATACAGAGACTGGTTGGTTGAGAAGCAAGATGAGCACAAAACGAACTGGTTTAGCCTTGTAGTATGGCTAGCAGCTTATCGCAACATGTAACTTTGAACTTCCGTCTCTTACCAATTCCGTCTCTGGTCTGCTAGAATATAATCCAGCAGATTGATCAAATTAGGATCCTCCGATCAAATTATGATCCGCAACAAATGTGAAATCCGGCAATCAAATTATGATCCTCCGACATTGAAATTTCAATCTGAAACGGAATGTGAATCCATCTTGCTTGAGCAGACCTGGCTGGGATTACAGACATTATTCGGTCGACCAATCACAGCGTGGGAAGGAAATTCTGGGCTGTATATAAAGGAGCATGTTTCCCTCTGACCGCCTACAAAAACAATGGCTCTGCAGGTCGGAAAATGCTTTCCGTTTCATAATCCGTCTCTCATTGACCTGAAATGCACAGCTCCCAGTTCCACCCGTTGCTATCCCTGGGATGCGTCAACCTCGCTCGCCGTTTGTTTGGCTTCAGGACCTCGACGAGCGGTCTCTCTTTCTCGAATACCTTGTACGCTACCTGTTAACTCCAGGCTCGATATGGCGCGAATACGCTGTGGGCGCTATAACGAAATATTGGCAACAGTTTCCGTTTACACCTCCCAAGCTCATCGAGAGCGAGAATGAACGGATCACAGAGGCGATTGCGAAATACAAGGAGGTGTTCGAAAAGGTATGGTAACCTTGCATGGTGAATACTGATATTGATTGATTCGCAGCGTGTGGAAGGAGAGTTCCGTCTCGCCTCATACAAGCATTCCGTCTATGCCGCATGGGCTTTCGGTCTCCGCAAGGCATTCCCCGCTGTCGGTTTGCCTCGTTTATTTCAGATTCACTCGCTGATTTTTCCGTTCAGCACATGATGGTTCCCGGAATGGAAACATGTGTTCGAGGCGGAAATGGCGCAGCGGACTTTGTACCGTTTTGCTGGGTGCACATCCTTTATTATCGAGATATCTGCCAGTCTTCTCTTATCAATTACTTGCGCCATCCGGAGCAACCAATCCAATGGCGTGGACATCCCGATCTCAAGAACAAACACGAACCTTATGCTATCAGTTTCGTCAGGACGCTCTTTGCAGAGGCACCGAAACTCGAGACGGAATTCAAGAAGCACATGCGGTTTGGACTCGTGGATTCACCAGCAAGGACGGTTGACGTTGGTCCCATGTCCATCGAGGACATCAAGACGCTTTTCTACAACGTATTTGGATCATTGTCTTTCCGTCTCCCGTTGTTAATGAATACCTCCAGCAAGTTCGGGCAGAGTTTTCCCGTTCCGACAGCGACAAAGGTGTCGCATGGGCGAACAAATACGAGATCACTGAGTATCAGAATGTTAGGATCGTTCTGACGGACATTTGGCCACAGAAATTCTGGCCGCATGCCATGGGCGCAGATCAGATCGCAAAAAAAAGCAGTGACGGCGACGAACGGTGAAATGCGTATTTTGCCAGAGCCACTCGATGACTATTACAACCGTTTCGGTCAGGATAGCTACACTGCAGATTATCTTCAAGGCATGGATTTCTAGTACTTAGCGGAATGTTTCATCAGACGGAAATCAAATGCCGTCTCTGCCAGTCAGCCTGCTTGAAAAAAAATCAGCAGACGGAGATGCCAATTGTGGTACAGTACGGTACGGAGACGGTTAATATTCACCCGTACTGTATACCGTACGGTGCGGATCCCTATGATGAGTGCACGTGCTCGTGACCGGTTCTCATCTTGGGCGTCCACCATCCCTTGGTCTATCAACTGCCTATAGCTCAGATGGTAGAGTGTCCGTTAACTTGTACCCAGTCACTTACTTACATGGAGGTCGAGGGTTCGAACCCCTCTAGCCACGACTATTTTTTTTTTGACATTAACGGAATGTTTAAGCAGATGGAAAACGGATACCGTCTCTGCTGGTCAGCCTGCTTGAAAAAAAATCAGCAGACGGAGATCCCAATTGCGGTACGGTATGGTCAATATTTATCTGTACCGTAATCCGATGATTGGTATACGGTTACGACCGTCACCGTATATGGTACGGTGCGGATCCCTAGAAACCTCTTAGGGTTAGATGATTTGTTATACGGTTACGACCGTCACCGTAGTAGAAACCTCGAGTCGCTATGATGAGTGCCAGCTGCTGGATTAAAATGAAGCAGACGGATTCATATTGTTCTAGTGCTCCGCACCGTACCGTATACGCACCGTATAAAATTCCTGGGTAAATATTGTCCATATAGCGTACCGTACCCTTCGTAGTTATAGTGGCTTCATTCTTGACTGAAAATGTCCCAATATGGAGATGCGCGCAGTCGGAGGAGGAACCGCAGCAGGCGCTCTCCCAATATGGAGATGCGCGCAGTCGGGGGCGGAACTGCGGGCGCTTTGTCCCAATATGGAGATGAACACAGTCGGGGGGCGGAACTACGGGAGGCGCTGCCCAAATATGGATTTGGATCAGACGGCTACAGGCAGCGTCCATGGCGGCTTGCACAGACGCAAGAGAGATGCGACACGGATTTGGAACGATAAATGAAATTTAATTCGCACAATAATGACAAGATATATACAATTTTTTTAAGAGCTACCGGAAAATAGCAAAGGACGGTCGGGACGATCCGTCATGATGGCAAGGCCGAAAAGAGAGAAGTTAGAAAGCAGAAGACAGAGAGTAACACGAGCAGTCAGAGCAGCAGCTGTGGCTGCTGGAGCGTGATGCGGACCTCGACGTCGAGGAGGGGGACGAGGACGAGGACGAGGACGAGGACGAGGATGAGATAGCCATGAGCATGGCATCCACCTCGCGCTCATCCGTACTTTGGTCATATTCCTCCTGCAATTCCCTTTGCCATCGTCGTAACAGAGCGCTTGAAGAGACGGAAGCCGGTGACGGCGAATGCACCGAAAAATACACGGACCGAGTTTCCGTGTCCTCGGCAGACTCGATATCGATCGGAGTTTGAGAAAGTCGAGTCTCCGTGTGCCCGGCAGACTCGACATCCATCGGAGCTGGAGAAAGTCGAGTCTCCGTGTGCCCGGCAGACTCGACATCTATCGGAGCTGGAGAAAGTCGAGTCTCGGCGTGCTCGGCAGACTCGACATCCATCGGAACTCCAAACCGAGGTTGCGTCTCTAACTCAACTTCTCCAAGAGGCCGGGGAGTGACTGCAGGCCAACGAAGGGATTCAGGAATGGGTGCAGGCGGATTCGGATCGGTGTAGATGTGGACATGGCGACGCTGGAGTGCAGCGTGCGATGCGATACCGGAGACGGAGGCTTCGTCGAAGAGGCTTTGCCGTTCTGCCATAGCGTTGTGGATGCTCGTGTCGATTACACTGTCGCCAGTTGTAACGTTTGGGGTACGCAGTCCATACCCGAAATATGAGATCTGGTAATCCATAAGTGATTCGAACGTCTCGAGATCCTGCAAATGTTCCCCAAACTGCTCCATCCATGAGTTGGCATGTTCGAGCGACCTACTAGCCCTAAGCCGACAAGAGTTGCGGTAATTCCACAATGCTTGTAGATCATTCGCTTGCTCCGGAGTGACAGAAGGAGGCGAGTTCTGCGAGCGACGCGTTCCACTGAGGAAGGACTCTCGGAGTTCGCGTGTAATGCGTGATCTGGAGATGTCGTAGTGGATTTGAGCCATGTCAGGATGATAAGAGACGGTGTTGTGAGTTCCAGGGGACGGGAAAGCATAACTGGGGATGGGAGTGTGATTTCCGAATGAATTTTCCGTCTCCGAGCGGCGGTGATCATAATTCGGGTGGGGACTGCGATTTTGCGTTTGCGAGCGCGCGTAATCAGCGAGAATTTCCGGATTTTCAGAGTCCGGGACATCTCCTCGATGACTCTCGGAGGGTGAACCAGGAGTCATCGCCTGCTCTTCCTCCTCAATGACGATCGCATCATCTCTGGAGTCCCCAGAAGCCGGAACGGATTGCTCTCGAGGTGCCACCACAGAACTAGAAACAACTTGATCACGGTTAAGGTCTGGTGGAAGACCAAAGTCATCGTCATCGTCGCCGTAAATATCATCTGGGTTATCGTAGTCCCCAGAGGACGGGATTTCGGGGACGGGGATCTCTGAGGCGGGCTGCTGAAAGGCTTCAGCAGGAAGACGTTGTAAATCCATCTCGTCTTCCGAAACAGCGGCGAGAACCGGAGCAGGGATGATGACGCGAGGAGCTGCTGAGACAGTTCAGTGAACAAAGCAAATCCGTCTGAAACAATTAACTTACCAGCTGAGCGAGCGGAAGGAGGTTTGCCTCGGCGGGCAAATCCAGCACGCGGAATTCCACGTCCACGTCCACGGGGGTGACGTGCAGCATGAAGACGAAAAGGAGGAGCAGGAGGAGGAGACGGTGTTGGCGTTGGCGATGACGTTGGCGTCGGTGTCGGTGATGGCGCCCTAAAATGACGAGGACGGTTTATGCGACCTAGTTCCTTGAATTCTGCAGGTATAGTCCCATCCTCCATCAGATGTATCAATCTCTGATTGGCAGAGATGTCGACGCCAGACCAAGAGCAATGAACTTTGAGAATATTGCAGTTTCTGCAGTTTTTCCCTCGACCGGTTTTCTTTCGTTCGACAACGCATTCCTCCAAGTCAAGCTGCGAATAGTTCTTCGAGTTCGGATTCCGTTGTTTGATCCCGGTCATGTAGGGGCGACATCGATCGCAGTGATCCGGGTATCCACGGGTTACCGTAGTCGATAGCTCGGCATGCTTCCGTCTCTCTCTCTGCTTCTTCTTCTTCTTTGCTGGACTATTTTCTCCATAAACACCAGTGTGAGATGCTGCGCGTTTACGCTTTGTCGGTCTCGGCGTCAATTCGGGATCTGGCTCGACGGGGGGCGGGCTGGCGGGATCCGGAGGTGGGGTCGATTCGAAACGCTGCTGTGACGAAGGCGAAAGCGATGCTGAGAACATACTGGCAAGAGATGTACGTGGAGATTTTAAAAAGAGGGGAGTGCGCTCTCTAGGCGCTTCAGGAGTCGGGATTCGAGAGACGGCTGCAGCCATTTCCGGCTCAGGCGTCGGGAGGCGGGAGGCGGCTGCAGCTGTTTCCGGCTCAGGCGTCGGGATTCGGCGGGCGCTCTGCAGTCGGGCCATCGTCTCGGGGGTTATCGAAGGAATGGTAAGCGTAATAAGCTCTGGGGAGCTTGAACGCGTTCCCAAAGGCGCATGTTCTGGAGTGTTCAACGGAGGACGAGGCTGGCGAGGGCTCAGCTCAACGTCAGGATCAGAGACATTGACAGAAGGAACGTCGTTGACGATTATGTCATTCGAAGGCGACGGTGGTGAAGGAGAAGAAGGTTTGGATGAAGGGGGGGGAGAAGCGTCGCCTAGAAAAAAAAGTTAGACGACGATCGTGAAAGAAAACGCAACAAAAGGACAAAGGAGACGGAGAACGAAGAAACGGAAATTTTACCTTGACGTATCGACGGCTGGATTTGTGAGGGCATTGATGTGGCGGTGGCAGCTGGTGATGGTCGAGGACAAAGGAAAATTTTGATCGCTTACGCAAACAATGGATTGGATAATCCAACAAGCATGTGATCTGGCCGGTTCACGAGCCGAGCGCGAGTTCGAGCCTGGCAGTGGACACCACCGGCCTGCGAGCTGCTGGAATAAAATCGAGCAGACGGATTTCCATGCACACGTAATATTGTTTCTCCAATTTTTCCGTCCCTAGCTCACATTGGATCGGTCTGCTTGAATAGAATCAAGCAGACGGATCTGATGCATCTTGAATGATTCTTACGGTGCTTCCCAAATTAAAACGCCTTGTTCTAGCATCAAAGTGAACAAGGTACTGATAAGGTTTGCAGCGATCTTCACGTCAGGCAGCGATCCTCACGTCACCAGGGGCATATGGAACCAGCTGATCGCCGATCCGTGTCATTCTCATGACGCAAAATGATCGCATCAATCGGATCAAACCGGTTATCACATTTCCGTCTACCGATTAGTGGGCGACGATCAATAAGGCTTACTGCTAGCTCTATACCGAACGGTACAAGCCAAATCAAGGCAAATGCGACTTGATTTTCGGGCAAGAATGACGGCCGTGTTCTATACGGATAAGGTAGCCATTTTGGGTGAGTTTGTCTCACACCGTATCGGAGGAGACTTACCATCGGTCGTAACCGTATACCGTACGGTGCGGAACTCTAGAAACCTCGAGTCGCTATGATGAGTGCACGTGCTCGTGACCAGTTCCCATCTTGGCCGTCCACCATCATACTGTCTACCAAGCGGCTATAGCTCAATTGGTAGAGCGTCCATTAACTCTGTGACCCACTGATTTACTTTGCTACATGGAGGTTGAGAGTTCGAACCTCTCTAGCCACGACTATTTTTTTTGACATTAGTTACAGGACGGGTTCGTAACCGTATTACGGACACAAGCTCGGATTACGGTAACCTTAAATATTAACCGTCTCCGTAGCATACCGTACCGCAATTGGGATCCCCGTCTGCTGCTTTCTTTTCAAGCAGGCTGACCGGCAGACACGGGATCCGATTTGCGTCTCGAGACACCCCGAATTTTCGCCCACGTGCTCGTGAGCGGTTCTCATCTCAGGCGTTCACCATCGCTCTGTTTACCAAGAGGCTATAGCTTAGTTGGTAGAGCGTCCATTGACTGTGATCATGGCATTTTCGCATGGAGGTCGAGGGTTCGAATCCCTCTAGCCCCGAATATTCTTTTTGACATTAGCGCAATATTTCGCCAGAACACGCTGGCTGCGTCTGCTTGATTTCAATCTAGCAGCTCGTTCTCAACACGGGCGAAAGTCCGGAGACACGTCAATCCCTTTCGACCAAACCACGGGCAAAGCATAGCACCTTCCAAATATGGTATTACGCTTTTTGGGTGGCCGTCTGTGAACAAGCGATTGCAGGGGAGAATTCCTTCAAAGATTCTCCAAAAACCCAATCTGGTAATACATGGAGTCCTCGCAGGACATACGCGCACGGACTAACAAAGAATAAGTCTGAGTGATTCAAATCAAGCTGGTGGAACGAAAAGGGAAAATGAGACGGAAAACGGCTTTCGAGTTCTTAACCAGACTTGCAAAGAGAGTAAAAGGATAACGAAACAGCGTATTTGTTACAATACGTCATAGTGACGCCACATCATTCCACGTGGCACGGCCATGTCAGCCCGTCGGAGAAAGAAAGAAAAAGTCAATAGGTCACCAGAGAGGGAAATTTAAATGCTAAGACCATGCAAATGAACCTGTTTATCACAGTGGATCACGGTGAACGTCGATGGGCATCAGGCTTTCCATATTGCCACGTCACACGGCGATCTCGGACTGCGCCCGGCGTGTCCCTCGTGTGAACCGGAGCTGTCAAGCAACACTATATCTCTGATCTTCCTTACCTTCCTTTCTCTTTCCCTCACCGTCAACGAAAAATCGCAGCCAGCACCGTCAGGTAAATTTCCGTCTTCACTGATGGCCACTTTCCGTCTAGACTCACACGGCTCCTTTCCTCAGTCATAATGGGTCCACCGCCGGGTAAGAGAGCGATGGTGCGACTCTTTCTTTGTTTCGAGTATTTCTTTCACCTGAATTCATTATATAGCAGCAATATGCCCTGACAAACGTATGTCTAAATCCTTCAACTGTCGACGCTTTCTCATCATTGAAATCCAGAACACGACAATGGATGAAGACCAGGTAACATGAACCCAAGTTTTTTTTATCTCGCTCACCGTCGCATTGGTTCAGATTGATGCGTCGAACCAGCTTCGAAGAAGGAAATCCAAGCCACCGTTTCAGAATCTCGAAAGCATGTTTGCCGATGGAGATGAAGACGAGGACCCGGAAGCAGTCAGTGCCTGATCTCTCTCCGTCTCTCATTCCATCTTGCTCAGTGTTTGCAGCAGGTCACAGTAAGTTTTATTGCTTTGTCCCAGTGTTTTCTGAAACGAAACTGGACTGGCAGAGAGAGAAGAGAGTGACACGGTCGGCGACGGTAAGAGTTCATCGGGCGACCCACTGTTCTCTGTTCTAATCTTCATATTACAGGGCACTGGGAGCGCAAATCCGCCGGTACGTGTCTCTCATTTCCACCCAAACACCATCCAGAACCGATTGATTTCCAAGGCTCCGTCCAAGTCAGAGGCGACGAGGACCAAAGCCAAAGCCAAAGCCAAAGCCAAAGCCAATCCGGGGGGCAAGGGCAAGGTCTCCACCATCGCCGCAGGTAGGATCATAGCGTTGGAGGTGGGTACCCTGTTTTTCTTGCGATCGACCTGCTAAGTTCACGTTCTAGAGCGAGGATGAAGCGGATACGGTCTCGGTAAGTCACTGTTTCCGTCTGCCTTGACCAACTCATTCTTGTTTAGCAGACCGAACCCGGCAGCTCACGAGTGAGTCCTCTTCATTCACTGTGCAATCATCTTTCTCTGACATTTGGCAAGAAAACACAATACAGAATGGACATTGATGACGAAGAGGAGATTCCGACTCCGCGAGACAAAGAAGACGAGGAGATGGCGCCTGCTGCAAGTCCAATCTTCGTCCCAATTTACCCGACTGCTGATTTAATTTCTAGCAGCCCGAAGAGGACGCGAATCCGACTCCACAGCACAAAGAAGACGAGGACATGCTGCCTGCTGCAAGTCCACAGGTGATTCCGACTGCGCAAGGCAAAGAAGACGAGGAGATGGCGCCTGCTGCAAGTCGAATCTTTGTCCCATTTACCCGACTGCTGATTTATTTTCTAGCAGTCCGAAGAAGACGCGAATCCGACTCCACAGCGCAAAGAAGACGAGGACATGCTGCCTGCTGCAAGTCCACAGGTGATTCCGACTGCGCAAGGCAAAGAAGACGAGAAGATGGCGCCTGCTGCAAGTCGAATCTTCGTCCCATTTACCCAACTGCTGATTTATTTTCTAGCAGCCTGGAGAAGATAAGAATCCGACTCCACAGCGCAAAGAAGACGAGGACATGCTGCCTGCTGCAAGTCCAGACGGGAATTCTACTCCACAGCGCAAAGAAGATGAAGAGATGGCGCTTGCTGCAAGTCCATATTCGTCCCATTTATCTGACCTGCTGAGTTTATTTCCAGCAGCCCGAGATCGAAACGCAGCAGATACCAGTACCAGAATCGCCCGACACGAGACGGAAATCTCAGGCGAAGATGGTGAGTCAACCCACCAAGGATTCGGAAGAAAGCAGCGACGAAGGATCTGTAAGCCCAGTCCCATCTCAGTGCTGCAATCGGTCTGCTGAAACAAAATCTAGCAGACTCTCAAGCCCAAGAAGAAACGGAAGGCTAGGAAAACAAAGGCAAGTCGATTCTTGCGAACTGTTCTCTCTCTCTCTTACCTCGACAGTCCAAGAAGGGAGCAAAAAGCGGCAATGAAACATCTGTGAGTCATGCTTGACTGTGTTTCCGTCAGCTGAAATAAATTGTGACAGGACCAGGACGGATTCGAGGAGATTTCCGCAGACGAAGTCAAAGGAGCCCTCAAGCGTGCGTCGAAAAACACGAGAGCACGGATGAAGGCAGCAGCAAGTGTCAGTCTTTTTTTCCGTGTAAGCAGAGTCAATTCACATCTCTCGCAATAGGCTCCATTGATCCACAACGACGCAACGAGCGTAGATCCCCTCGATGCCTGGACCATTGGCTATGCGGCAGGTTTGGGAAACCATCCCAACCTTGCTTATGACGCGCCCACCCTTCTTTTGTTTGACGTACGTGACGCATCCAACCTTGCGTTGAGCACAGCCGCCGTGCTCGAATCCCTCGGTGTGAACGGAATCAACATGAAACCTTTCTTGCGGGAGAACCTTCTCATCGTCTTCATCGATCCGTTGTACATCAACGCTGCGAGTCTGCGGCAATCAGAGAAAGAGGAGCTTGTCCTCGTCGAGTTCACCGAACAGGCATTTGGCCAAAGCATGGAACTTGGTGCTGGGCATTCCCGGCTCAATGCACTGAAGAAGCTTTACGCGTTTCTCAGAGCTCAATTTGAGAAGCAGCAAGACGCTGTTATCCTTGCGACGAGGAAACTCAACAAAGACGGATTGAGCGACAAGAGAACAGCTACGTTGATCGCAGAACGTAAGAAAGTGATTGTGCTCGCCAAGGAAGCGGAGACGGCTTACTTCACAGCCAACCGGTGGGGACTCCGTTTTGTCAGCAGTAAGCTCGGTTTATGTAATTCTATTTTATTTGAATCACTCATTCTCTCACAGTCAACTGTCCAATCGAAATACGAATGGCAGCTTCGACGAATGGCCTCAGGGCGCAGACGTCGGATACTCCTTCCGTCTCTCTACGTCGTGTCATTCGGCTCGGAGGTCAAGCTCCCAACGCCATGGTTAGCAATGAAATCAAGAGGCAGTTTCTCCTGAAACCGAAAGGCGTCGAAGAGGCAGCATTGGTCGTGAAGGATCTCCCAGGCATTATCGACGCTTTGGGCAGGCTTTCACAGTTCAGTGCTTACTCAAACCATCCGTTGGACGTCAAACTGATATCAAAGGCAAAGGACGTGGTCGGTGGAGTACGTTTTTCAATCCGTTCAAACTAGAAGTGGTTCTGATCTTTTAGGCGTTTCAAATCGCTTGCGACTCTTTCTACGTGCAAGCTAGGTTCCTTATGGTTCCCGTCGACCTTGTGGCGTACAAGGAGACGGAAACATGCCAAGATTTCCACAGAGTCAGCATCTTGGCGCTCGCAGCGTCGAAGGAGATCACCGCCGCACTTGAGATGGCACCAAGCTTCACCGAGTTCGCTGTCGAGTTCACCGACCGTCTCCTGAAGGGTTTCGAAAAGCAGTACCTCGCCTTCTTTCGAGGTACCAATCCTGCTGACCGTCTTCAGGCGCTTGGTAGCAAGGCTTGGAAGGCTACCTTTTTGGGAGAGTATCGGACTGCGCTCTCTGAAGAGGTCCTGGAGGCCATCGAGGAGATCCCTAGATTCTGGAGATGGGATTTGACGCCAGACGACGAGCTCTTGATCGATAACGTGCTGCTCAAGGTCAACCTGATGCTCACGAACCAGATCTTCACCTTCGAGACGTGCTGGGAAGTCCCAATGCTCCCTCTTGGCTGCCCGGTTCTTCTTCACGACGTTTTGCAGTCGCAGCTGACATTTGAATCTGGATATCGCTTTGTGAGTCATCATTCCGTCTCATCGACCTTGTCTTGATAAAATTCGTGCCAGGTCTGTGGCCGTCTGGTTCCTCTGGTGGAAGCTGCATCACGTGCTGACGATCCAGACAATTCGATCACGCATTGCGTCTATCGCGACTTGTCCCGCTGTAGCACCAGATGGATAGCGCACGCCGAGGATACAGAGACTTTGATACGCAACCCGAATTGGGATCCAGATGACACGGAAAAGCAGGATACGGAGCGGAACCAAAAGATTAAAGCAGTCGTTATAGAGGTAAGCCACTCGCTCATTTCATTGGATCCAAATTCACAACCGGTTTTAACCAGATCATGGGATTGATATTCACTCATCGCGTACAGGCGTTTACTCCAGCGGCTGCTGATCTCGAAGCCTTCTTCCACATTGCCACGATAAAGGACAGGTTCGGAAAGGCAGCTCCAAACGGCAATGACGACGCAGAAGGGGAGGCGGTGATGCAATCGCCGACCGAATTGGATTGCGTCTCCTTGTGGATGGCTTTCATTGCGAATCGACTGGCCGGGAAGAACATGATCGATATAAAATCCACAGACGTCAATTTGAACCCTCCGAAAGGTTGCAGCCGCCACTGGCCAGAGAAGACGAAACTAGCGGGAGATCTCATGAAACAGTGTAGCTTTGACTGGATGCGTGGCAGCAGCGGTTCGAACAAGAAAAGTGCGAAATCGTACTTGGGCACAGCTCTGGCAGAGGTCGAACGTCAACCGCTGCAAAGCCAGATCTTTCAAAGACATCAACCGATTCGGTGAGTGGATTCATCTTATTTTAGACATCAGCAAATCGCTGAGCTATTGCTATCTTTAAGCTATCTGCACGGAAAAGCTTCCCGTCTGATCAGCGAATTGTTCGACGGAGACTGGATCGACTGGACCGGGTTTGAGTTCGAGGGCTCATACGCGATTCAGAGCTTCAGTGAACAGCAGGCGACGCTGACCAGTCATCGAGCGCTTAGGGATAATCAGGTGGAGACGGTGAAGAAATACTTCAAGGGTTGGGTGACGAAGCTGAAAGGGCCAGGCCACCTCGGCTTCCCCGTCGACGGGATTTGGAACGTTGACAGACCGCCAGCGGCTCCGAAAACGACCACCGTCGGCAAACAAGTTCGAACGAAAGCAGCGAAAGCAGAAGCGGAAGCATCGAAAGTGCACTTTGGAGTCAGTCCGGCTAGCGCGCTCTTGATCTCGAATTTTATACAGGTAAGTATTCTCCTGAAATCGGTGTTGCACGATCTAATCGGTATACCAGAGCGCGTCCCGGGAAGCGTATATCAATTTAACGTGCACCAATGGACTGCATAGAGACCGAGAGTCGTTCAAGTTGGACGAATTCGTCACGTCAGTGCTTGCTCACGCTGAGATCGACAAGGTGACGACGACGGAAGCTGCCCGAATTGAATTTCAGCGTGGTCTTGCTGAGGTTGGAGGTGCGGAATTAAAGGAGCCGCAGATGGAAGGAGACAGAAACGGCGAGATGAACGACGAGAAGGATTCACCAGGAGGCGGAACGAAGGAGACGATTGGAGGAGATGGAAGTACAGCGGGATCGAAGAGACGTCGGTCTAGATCTGAGGGGAGTGAAGTTCCGACGAAGCGAACGAAAATAGCCAGCGCTAGCTAGATATGCTTGAAATAAATGAAGCAGACCGATGTGCTTGCGTCGTGGAACTGGAGACGGAAATAAAGACGGGATGACTGGACGCTGTGGAGTGAGTGGGAGCCAGGATATGAAAGAATCTGCTTGAAATAAATGAAGCAGACCGATGCGCTTGCGTCATGGGATACTGTGTACGTCTGGAAGGGAGTGGGAAAGGCATGTTGAGGCAGCAGCGGAGAAGAAGAATCAGCGTGCTGAATTTTGATCGAGCAGGCAGCTTAGGGGTTAGAGCGTCGAGGGTTCAAAAGCGCGGTCCACGGAGAGGAAAATTTGAGAGGGAAGTGATAACCTGGGGCGGGAGCATGAGCTTGACCTGGAGACGGAGCATGAGGTTGAGCTAGTGACGAAGAAGACGAAAGAGTCTATTAGCCAAGATGCCGAAAGCGCAGCCGGCATCAGCGTCGAAGTGAGCACCAAGGAAGGCAAGATCATCCCACGGTTCATTTTCCGTTTCGTCGACAACCACAGCCGTTTTCCCGACTTTTCTAGCTCGCATACATTCCTCAACTCGCAGCAATTTTGTCACGAAGCCACCACTCCGTTTGTTCCTTTGGCTCAATTTGTATCAGTCGAGTTGCTCAATTGGGTTATCGGATCTATGTACAGACTGAGCCTTGAGCAGCAAATGAGTAGATTTGTAAGAGGTAGTTTATCAGCAGATTTGGCGTTGAGGAAGTGAATCGCTGAGAGATTCGCACGCACCCGAGCGGCGAATCTCCTCAGCGTGCGGATTCGAGCTTCAGGTCCCTCGGACGAGATCTTGCGCTGACGACTGTCGAAGTTGGAGGTCACATGGAGGCGGCCCGCTGGACCGGACCGCAAGGCCCGGTAGCTCAGTGGTCAGAGCGTTGGCGTAATGTACTGGTATTACATCAGCTGACGGGGTGGGTTCGAAACGGTCCTGGGGCGGAAATACAGGGCGTTGAGAGAGAGAGAATTATGAGCAGCTCGTATGTTTTGTTGTATCTGGCAAGGTGATTGAACGATTATGATTTAAAGAGTGATTGAGTGATATGGAGGAGATGGGACGGATTCAGATTATGTAATGGAGCGAAAACGGAAAGTGGATAGGCAAGGTCGAATTTATTAAGACAGTAAGGCAACTCGAGTTGAGTGCATGTTTGTAAGAGATTGAGAAGCTGGGAGAAGCACGGAGGACAAGCGGAGGACACCCGGAAGACACCCGGAAGACACCCGGAAGACACCCGGAAGACACCCGGAAGACACCCGGAAGACAAGCGGAGGACACGCGGAGGACAAGGGAGGTTTGAAGTTTGGAAGATAATGTTTGAGAGGTGTGGGACAAGGGGCGGGAACGCGGGAGGACGGAAAGAAGGTGTGTTTGATGTTTGGACGGTATTATTTGAGAGATGTATTGGAAGGGAACGGAGAGAAGGAGAAACAAGGGGGTTTGATGTTTAGAAGGGAAGATTTGAGACGGGTATTGGGAAGGGGGTTCGAGACGGTAAGAGGAGCGATTTTTGGATGTGGAGATTTCAGACGGGTCAAGACGGGAAGGATGGAGACGGCAAGAGCAGTGATTTTTGGATGTGGAGATTTCAGATGGGTCGAGACGGGAAGGATGGAGACGGTAAGAGCAGTGATTTTTGGATGTGGAGATTTCAGACGGGTCGAGACGGGAAGGTTCGAGACGGTAAGAGCAGTGATTTTTGGATGTGGAGATTTCAGACGGGTCAAGACGGGAAGGATGGAGACGGTAAGAGTAGTGATTTTGAGACGTCGGGATTGAAGATGGGGTATTGAGAAGCCGGTTCGAGACGGTAAGAGTAGTGATTTTGGGATCGAAGACGGGTATTGTGAAGCCGGGTTGAGAGGGGATGGTTTGAGACGGTAAGAGTAGCGATTTTGAGATGGAGAGATTAAGGAAGGCGGGAGGGCGAATGGATCGGGAAGTTGTAGAGAGGCGGAATGAATTTGGGGATGGTGGGAGTTTGTGTAGAGGATAGCGGAGAGGCCGGAATGAATTTGGGGAGTTGTAGGGGAGAGGGTTAGATGATGTTGGGGAAGCGGCGGGAATGGTAAATAGGAAGGAAGAGGCGGAATGAGGGTTAGTTGAAGTTGGAGAGTGAAATGATGGAAAGGAAGTTGAATTGGCGTAGTTGGGGGGTGAAATAGAAGGTAAGAGGTGGAGGGTTGAGTAGAGTTAGGGTTTGTTTGGCGTTAGAGGTTGAAGTAGGGTTAGGTTAGGGTTGAAGTAGGGTTAGGTAGGGTGAAGTAGGGTTGAAGTAGGGTTGAAGTAGGGTTGAAGTAGGGTTGAAGTAGGGTTGAGTAGGTTAGGTTAGGGTTAGAGTAGGGTTAGAGTTAGGGTAGGGTTGAAGTAGGGGTTGAAGGGTTAGGGTTAGACGTTAGGGTTGAAGTAGGTTGAAGTAGTGGTAGAGTTTAGGGTTAGGTTAGGGTTATTGAGGGTTAGGTTAGGGTTAGGGTTAGGGTTG